CAGAAATCGAAAGGGGGGGGGGGGGTAAGGCCCCCCCTGACCTCTAAATCCGCCACTGAAATTATAGAAAGTTAAACTATGTTAAAATGAGTTTTTCATCTTTTATAATAAACAGGCCCATGTACTGTATCCATTTTATTGGTTTTTCAATTAAAGTTTCTGACATCAATTTTGGTTGTTGAGTTGGGACCACTTTTTGAATATTTTTTGTGACACCAACTTATTAGACAATTCCTTTGCCTTATATAGTAAAAATTAAAATATTAATATTTTTAAAAAGTCACACTTCTTCACTTGATGCAGCTAGGACAAATAGGACTGATTTAATATACTAAAGTAATTTGAAGGATACAGGTTGGTAAAGGGGGAGGCACTATTTACCCCGGTACAACTGTCTGTATTTTTTTGCAGATTTACTGCTTTGTTAGGCAAATTTGCATCTCTAAAGAATGCGCTGATAAAGTGAGGAGAGGAGAACTTTCTGCCAATTGTGGAAACAACAAAATGGCTCAAGGAAACAAGAACAAGGGGCTGTGGAACATAATGTCCTTCATGGTGGAAAGTCTGGGAAGGTAGGCCATAGAAAAATTGAGGAAAGACTTATTAAAGCTTGTGGTCTTTAAGTAATAATACTACCATGTTTTCAAATGCAGTTAAGGGTAAATTGATTCTGATGCTAGGATGTAAATATGATGTTCTGTTTTAAACTTGACAAAATGTCATTTCTTTTATGAATCATACGAAGGTTTATCATTTCGTTAATTTTTACATCTCTGCATGGCACTCAGAAATATTAAATATGAGCCTTTAGTTTGCATTAATTTTCCTAAACTTCTAAAAATTCAATTACAATGCAAAATTTTAGATCACATTCCTTAATATGTATACCATGTAAAGATAGAAGATTAAAACTACAATTTTTTATTGTTTATTTATAAGAAAAAATCAAGGTGGCAGGGGCTCCTCCAGTACATATAAGACACCCAGTAACATCAGAGGTGGTTCGTTTTTGGATGAAGTAATGAGATCTCTGCCAATTAGATTTGAACCTAAACAACCCGAGAAGGTAGAAGCCACAATGTTTGCTGAGTTGGACAAAGATCGTTATGGTTCGTCAGCTCCTTGCAGCAAGAGAGATGATGCTGATGACAACATGGATTTTGAGGAGTGAGTTATTTTTAAAAGCTATTTATAATTATAAAAATTGTTAAATGCTGATGGATCTTAACCATGTAGTCTGCATTCATCAAAGGTTTCTTATCTAACTTATTTATTTCCCTTTGTGTTGCCACTGTTCTCACCACTGTCAATAAAATAGTGTCTAGACAATTAATTAATAGAAGCTGATATAAGGATTTTGCTTTAAAACCATTGACATTGGTGAGAACAGCGTTTATATAAGAGCCAGTTTTATTGTGGTCTAATCATATGTAAATTTATGCTTAAGTTTTTAAGAACCTCTGAAATGTAAGGTTTGCTATTATGAAAGTTGATCTGCTGTTCTGAGAACTAAGGGTTTGCTGTAACTATGAAGGATTCTCACTTACCAGTCCTCTAGCTATTAAGGAAGTGCATGCACCCTTCAGTTTTTTCTTCTTTGAGTGTGGACTGTATTTCAGAAATAGTGAACCCTCGTAATATTGTAACGATTTTACATAGCTTTAATTCATGGTAAAATTACTGCAGTAAGCTATAGCCTTTTGTTGACATTCGGCCAGTGTGTTGTTGAACTTTGAACCTTAAGTTGGAATGGCTTGTAAGTGGTATCAGTTTACTAAAGAGGGGATTGTGGTGTCCAGTAGAGGGGTTGGCGGTCAACCATTCAAGGCCGTCCACTTTTCCTCTGCCTGCCAGTCAAAGTAGCAGTGAACCATTCAAGGCCGTCCACTTTTGAAATGTATAAATACAGCTGCTCTACGCAGTGTTGGCCAGTTCAGTTAGAGTATAGTGGCAGTACTCAGTTAGAGTATAGTGTCAGACTTAGTTTCACAACTTAGTTTGAGTCAGTTTCACAATATAGTTCCAGTTAGTTTATTGTAGTTGAGTTGCAGTTGTTTAAGTTAGAAGTACAGCAGTACAGCAAGATAACCAGAGACAGTGTTCAGTAAAAGATACAGAAACATGTACATTTGTGTTGAGAATTGTTCTTAGAAATAAAGATTTACAAAACAGAAACCTGTTTTGTTGGTGGCAGCAATTCCGTTCCTTTAAAAGAACAAGAACCGTACACTGGAGGCAGAATAGCGGAGACCTTTACAATATTGAACCTTCAGAAAAGCAAACCTGGGAATAGCAAACCTTTTTTATAAAGAAGTGCACCCATTAAGTTAACCCATTTCTAACCTATCCTGTTAATTTCATTAAAATCAATATATAACTTTTTGAGTGCTTGATGACAAACAAACAAAAAAAATAATAATAAAATAAATAAGTATATAAATAAATAAATTCAGACAGACATACAGGCAGATCAACAAATAGGGAGGTGAAAATGTAACCTCCTTGGAAACTTAAGGTAAAAAATGACTTCAAATGTTAGTTAAGGTCACTGAAATGCAATAACAATGGGTACTATAATTTTACCTCTATTGATGTGTTATTAATGTTCCAGATTGGTACAGGACTTTTTGGGCGGCCGAGGTTCACAAATGGCCAATGGCAGTCATTTTGGACCTCATGGCAATGGTAGCCATCTTGGACCCCATGGTAATGGCAGCCATTTTGGACTACATGGCATGAGAGATGACAATAGGTACGGCTATGGACGTGGTGATTATGGCATGAGGGAGGAAGTGTGTGAAATAAGGGAAACCTCACAGACATCTGAGTGCTGTGATGACGAGGTGAGTGCTTTGCCTGTTTTTATCACAGTGTACAAAAAAATAAATATACAATACTAGTAGCTGTGTCTTGCATCCCACCAAAGGCTGTCTTTTCCTATTACAAAAATACAAATGCTGGCTATAATAACTTGCATGGTTATAGCTTGCTTGGACATAAATGTGTTTTCCAAATACAAAAACCTTTTCAAGGAGTTGAATGAATCTATCACCAATTGGTGCCTTAATTTGTTAATTAGGGTTAAATCTTTGTTGAGCTAGTTGGTAATTTTTTTCACCGTGACCTACTTTTCAAGGTCAAATAAGTCATCTTGGATCACAAGTAATGAGTTTAAACACGTAATGGAGTCAAACTTAAGGTACAATAATTATGAGATTAATTTATTATCACAGTGACTATAAATTTATAGGAGATATTCATAATTATTACTTTTTAAAGATCAAGAATTGTTCATTCTATTTTTACATTTTCTTAATACATGTAGTAATTAAATGAATGACTTCATTCAAAATAGCATCATATAATACAATTTAACATAAAGATATCTATATGAATTTGACCTTTTTAGCCGCATACTAGTAGTTCATGGTTAACTTGACCTTGATCTAAACTTCGCGTTTCAGGTCCTTTGTGTGGCAAGTGGGCGTTGTATACCAAAGCAATGCAATGCAGGACCTACCCCAACAGACCCTCCTGATGGTATGTGTCTAAAATGTTAAAAGAAAATGGATGTATTTGTCATCCATTTTCTTTGTACAATGTGTTCCATTCAGGATGATAATTATTTGACAGTGTGTAAAAGGACACTTATTTTCTCCTGAATTTGAGTGCCACTGGTAAACAAACAACAAGAGTATATAGTTATCCCCACCCCCCACGCCATCATATGCAGTATATAGCTGCTAATGAATACCAGTATTCATTTGTACTACATACATTCATTAACATACTCTTAATTACTGCATTTATACAACATTTTTCCCTAATGTTTGTAAACGTTTTCTGTGAAAATAAAAGCAAAGTTGGATCTATATCATTGCTTGAATGCAGATGAATCAAACAGGTGTCAATATTTTTTCAGAATTCCGTGAAGGTGTGTGCCCAAACCCAGATGGCAATGCAGATATGGGTGTGTCCGATTTGATCTACACCATGAAGAACTATTTTGACAACAATCCATCCACCCAGGAATTTACTCGACTGCTTGAAACAATGTCCGACTCTGATTTTCAGCGTTACCAATTCCTGGTGTCTCTCACCAGCCACAAGGATATTCCAGACAAGAGTGTTTTCATGTAAATATTACTGTCATTTAAACCCCCTTTACACTGGACAGCATCCTTTCTGGGTCCCACATATTTTGGCCCTGTTTGAGAATACATAATAAAAAAAAAAACTTCACATGCCGACAGTAGGACAATCATTGAGTATTCATTCTGCAACCAAAACGATGCTTGTGCCTCCTTTTTAGGACCACATCGATGCCAGTTTCGATATGCATGGTCACACAAAGGAAACAGAAAGGATGCCATCCAGTGTAAAGGGGGTTTTATTAAACAAAGGTGGATTCATAGGGGTTGGGGGTACAGACAGTGTTACAAGACAAAAGTTATTATTACCTGTGGCTGTACATATGGATATTTAAATTAAAATTTACCTGAACTTTTTTTTTTTTTGAAACTTCATCCCTGTGCAGCTGTCCCTTAGCAAGATACTTGATAGAAAAACATGCTGGTGCTGAGCTCCCCAGAGGGCAAGTTATGTTGTTTAACGTTGAAACAACGCTGAACCATAACGTTGATAATACGTTGGATTAACATTGGATTTGAAAGTTGACTCAACCTCAGATAACAACGTTGTGTCAACATCAGATAACAACATTGTATCAACCCCAGTTGTTAGACAACATTCTTGCATGAAAAGTCATTAAAATGACCTGAAATGTTTTTATTTTTTGTACAAAACACAGGTACACAATTATAAAGTACACTGTAAAAACATCCAAGTGCCTGCTTTGTCTGATTTTTTCAACGCATTTAGCTCCAAAGCATGTTTTGCACCTAAGCATGGTACACCCTTTTAGCCTGGATGTGTTTAGAAGTAGGACATGTTTGATGGCTAAATATATGTAGGGTATATATGTATGGCCTCTAAGTTAAAATTTCCAAGNAACAAAGTCACAGTCACCTCAACCTGTCTATCTATAACAGGGTACCAAGAACTGTCAACTTTATTAACTTCATCCATCACATTTACAGCAAAGTATTCATCCTAGTACGTGTTAGCTGACCTTGCAAGGAATTCAGTTTATTGGAATGTATTTCTGAATAACAAGTTAAGAAAATTCATTAGTTCACTAAAGACACAAAATAACTGTCACTTTTACTTTAAACACTTTTTTATTATTTTGATGAAGTTAGTTACAGTATTGATAAACAAAGTATCACGTTTTCAACAATTAATATTTTAAATTACAATCCATGTCTGCAAGGTTGTGTCAATGACCAAAATACAACGTTGAGTCAACGTCACATTATGACGGTGTTTCGACGTGGCTGGATCAACGTTGATTTTACGATGAATTTAGGTAGATTTCAACGTTGATCCAACGCGACTATGCCTGCTGGGTCAGTGCTTTGAAATAATTTAAGGAATAAAATATGGTTTAACTGGTTTGATAATTTCCAAGTCAAGCTCTAAACTATGTTTATCTACATCTTAACTATCCTACCCACTCATACAGCAATGTGCTGACCTTAGTAAACAGAGAAAGTTGAGCATTATATCAAAACAAAAAAAGGTCTACAATTAATTCACGTAGTATAATAAGATGACTGTTATTACTCCTTTGCAGAAACATGTTGACAACAGGGCGGATGACAGTGCAGGAAATTACGCAAGATGTTGAAAGACTGGTGATAGCGGCAGAGTTTAATGCTCAGCAAGATCCTGTGACAGCTGAGTTGATGTATGGTTTGTTAAACTTCATGTCAACGAGGCCATCGGATCAGATGTTTCTGGATGTTCTGGACGGCATGGATGATGCCATGTGGGAAAAGTACAGATCTGTGTACTTTGTTGTTGGAATTCAGCTCCCAGATAAAGCCACCTACAGGTATAAATTTAGCATGATCTTTTATTTTTCATTGTGGCAATGCTTTCTATAAGTGATTGCACTGGATGGTGTCAACAGAAAGCATCCTTAGAATTTTGCTGTAAACTCACCTCTGTCACAGTGCACTATCAGCATGCATCCAACATTTATACTGTAAACTGTTACTAAAAATTAAGAAATGAGCAAAACTTGTCACCATTTTGATGCTCCTTTAAAATCTCCTTTGGAAAACTAATCACAATGCAAATGATATCAGGCCAAAACTCACTCACTCCCCCCTCAGTAATGGACCAAATCAAAATGAACATAAAAGTCTTTAAAAATCCATTTTATGTTCAGCAGACTTTACAAGATGAAAATATATTTTTTAAGACATAATTATATAAAAAAGAAACATAAAGGGTAGAAAAAAGAAAAGTGATTAAGAATATATAACGCTGAACAAAATTTAATACCAAAATTCTGTTGTCTTGAATTATGAGCTACTGAATGATTTTAAAAGTAATGTTGTTTAAAAAGGTATGTATAAATTTTTTGGGGGGATGCTCAATTTTCCTTAGATAGATGGGTAATTTATGTCATTTGGCAGGATCTGCTTTTTATTTTATCAGCCTTGAAGGACAAGCCTTAAAGTGGTAACTGCAACAATAATTCAATCCTTTTTTATTTCAGTAACATGATTCGCCGTGGTGATGTAAGGATGCAAGATATTAAGTCTTCACTGAGCACTCTTGTGAATTATGCAGTAAGTTCAGCAGGAGGCTTCAGTGGTACCAGTGGTTTCTCTGGAAACAGTGGTTTCCCTGGTGACAGTGGTTTCCCTGGTGACAGTGGTTTCACTGGTGANACATGCCTAGTAGGCCTATGATTGGATAAGATAATTGTCTTTGTATTAAATCTTACAAACCTGTCCCACTAAATAATAATAATATTAATAATAATTATAATTTCCATCAATGAAATGAATTAAAGACGCAAAGATGATGAACAATCTTTTTCTATGAACAGCTATCGCTCATATATTTTAATTTTCTTTCCACCGCATAATTCCATGAATCTCGTCAAGTTAGTTTTGAATATTTCGGTCTCTGATAAATTATAATTTTAACGTTTTTTCTTTTCCATTTCTTTGACAGAGACGCTTTTAGGAAGGCTTTCAAACACTGGAGTGACGTGACTCCACTTACATTCAGAGAGCTGCAGATTGGAGCACCGGGCAGATCCGACATCCGTATCCGGTTTATGAGCTCTGGGAGGTCCTTTGGAAGAAGGGGTAAATAGTAAATGACACTTCATATGATGAACACTGTTAATTTTGATAAACTGACAAGTTGCATTTTTTTAACATGGAAAGACGCCATCTAAAATGTTAAGAATAAATCTAATTCAGTTTTCCATAATCTGATATGTACTATGTTATTCCTTTTTATTGCAAGTCAACCCCCGATTATTTTATTCTAGGAGGTGTTCTAGCATATGCATTCTTCCCAGAGAATGGCAACACTCGTTTTGATGAAGGCGAGCGCTGGACGGCCAATAACAACCCGAGAGGCGGGATCGATTTGGAGATTGTGGCCACTCACGAGATAGGCCATCTCCTCGGCCTGCCGCATTCCCAAGTACGTGGAGCTGTCCTTGCACCCTTCTACGGGGGTTACGAACGCAACTTTGCGCTGCGCAGGGACGACATTCAGAGAATCCAACGCATATATGGTATGCACGTGTGATCTTGTTTAAGTTACTTTCAAGTTTCAGGCTTAAAGTCTTTGATCCTGTTTGGTTAAAGTTGTACTTATCTGTCAGGCAGCTTCAAAAGAATTTAAGCAGGATAAAATTCTTTGTCTAAAAGTCTTTTGCAAACTACACAAACTACACACACGGAAATCATTCGATTGCAGCATTTGCTTAAGAACTATTGTTAATGCATATTTCGTGAGATATTGTGTCTTTTAGAAGTGGGAAATCGACCATTAGAATACAATCTTAAACGCTTTACGACTGCATAACTATTTATCAACAGCCATTGTCAAATAAGAAATCTTTTATTTCAAGGGCGTAATACTCGGCCACCTACTCCTCAACCTACTGTGAGGCCCACCCCACGGCCCACTCCACGGCCCACCAGAGGACCAACCACAGGAAACGGCAACAGATCACAGTGCTCCAATAATTTCAGGATCGACGGCATAATGGAAGGTAAGAACTATAATATAGTCCAATACTCCATTTTTTTATTGTTTCGTCATAGTCTGCTCGACATTTCTATTTCTTGACATGCTATTATTTATTTATTTATTTATTCATTTATTTATTGAAGTAGGCCTACAAGTCTTGCTGCGGTGCTTTCAGCAAGTTTAGGGTTTTTCGTATTTAAAGAGAAGATATGCCCCACTTGAACAAACACGTAAACGCTTTGAATGGTTATCAGTCTAACTTGAATTATACTGCACAGTTTCTCTGTTCAGACCAGTCAGTTAAGAAAGGACCTTGTAGTGCACAATGTCAGTTTCTAAGTGTGAGGTTTTAGAATCAATAGTATACATTATGCATTAATCGACATGAATAGAAAAATATGCATATTCAATATAATGTAGTAGGTAATTTTAGGTATAAATGCAGCACAAATATCTTTTCAAAGGTCTTTTTAAAGTTTTTAATCACAAAGTCTCTTTTAAATTGAAAAAAATTTCATAGATTTTATTTCATATTTTCAGTATCAAATTCAAACTACTACGTATTTAGTGGGAGTCAGGTGTACCGTTTAACAGCACAGGGAACAGTGGCACGCGGCTACCCGAGGGCGATCACTGCCGACTTCCCGAGCGCACCAAGTAATATTGATGCTGCCACCCATTCCGATAGAACTGGCTTCAGTTATTTGTTCAAAGGTGCACTTTTTTTATACTTACTTAGAATGAGAGGGAATATTTGCTCGAATAAAAATATCCATGATGTGTGTGTGTGTGTGTGTGTGTGTGTGTGTGTGTGAGAGAGAGAGAAAGAGAGAACTGATCCCTGTTCTAATGATACAAACAATTAAAACTCAAGGTTTTAATTCCAGGTAAAGAGCTGTTCAAGTACAGAGGCAACACACTTATTTCTAGGACAACAATCAGTGATCCGAGGTTCCCCTCAAGCATACAGGGAGCCTTGACTTGGAGAAACGGGAATTTGTTCATTTTTAATGTAAGTACGATTGGCGTATGTCATTATTCAAGCATAATAAAAACACCAGATAACCAATGAAATTCTTGGCGAGAATTAGAAATAACATTTTCCTTCATCTGTGACTTAAAATGCATCTGAAAAAGTATGCGTCCGATAACCGCTTCAAAGAGGGTAATACAAAATACGCATGCATGATGAAAACGTTTATTTATTCAGCGGCGATTTCTGGGGATATATGATTAAAACTGATTCATTAAAAATATGTTCCTTTATACAGTGCATTAGCTTGAATAAAATCTTTCGTGGCCAAAATAGGACTATGGCTTGGTTCCGATCATCATCAGTTCGAAGTCGATTTGAACAAGCCGTGGCAGCACATGTACCTCAGGTTGCATTCCATGTACGATTTTGATATTTGTCAATAACAGCAGGCATTTCGCTCCAAAATTCATTTTATATACTTGAGGTATTGAAGTATTCCAACAAAGCGCACTTTCCTAGCTGTGTCGTATGAAATACAGAAGGGGGGG